ACAACTTTCACCCTGACTGTAAGAAATATATTTGTGAAATTAGCACCAGCATCCTTGAAGATATTTGTGATTACTCTTCTTGTGGGTTATAAATTACAGTGAGAACTGGAAAAGCTAAATTCAATGAAAATAACTGGATCCCTGAATAGAAGGGGCCAAGTGGTGACACATAATCACCAAAGTTAAAGTTTTTAGTATACAGCAAAGTTAAAGCTATAATCATGACTAACAACATGGCATTGCTATTTGGATCATGATGTCCCTAAGAGTAAAATAAGTGGACATCTACTAAATTATCACTTAATCTATACATGTGGAAGAGTTCTCTTTCAAGTTAACAAAAGGCTAGTTTGAATCATATAAATGGATATCTATGGCCTCTCAATCAATTTCTATACTTGAACTAGTTTACAGACCCAGAATGGCTTGAAAGAAGGAAGGCCAGGTATCTTTGAAGAAAGACCCCCACTACATTGCCAAATATGTCTACTGTTAATATTTCTATCCATCCTCCCCAAAAGGGATCTAAAACCTTTTATCTGGATAATGACATTGGGGAAAAGGAAATAATCACACTTTGGGGCATTACTGGACCCTGACTTTGAAATGACATTGATTCAGGAGACCCAAAATATTATTGTGGTCTACTGATCAGAGTAGGAGCTTATGAAGGTGAGATAATCATAAATTGAATATAAATAGTTTCAAATACTATTAATAATATATTTTAAATCAATAATGTGTAAATAAAATATATCCACTAAATAGTAATTTTATTTTTGCATAAAACAACAATGCTAATTTATATGTTTAGGAAATGAGACTTGGAAAAGAAGAGAGAGGTTTTTATTTTCTAAAACTGGGTTATGAACAGTGATTAATACCTGAACACACCTTACAGAAGAAGCAAGGCAATAATTCTAAGAAAAAAAAGTTTGATTGATTTTCTAAGAGACAGTCTGGATTCCAGGAAATCATTCAGAAGTACCCTCTGAAAGCTTCTGATATGTAATCCATAATAAGAACATTTAAAAACAGCTATTCTAGATGATTACAGGAAAAAGAAGAGGAAGACTAATTGGAGATGACAATACCAGGAAAATGTATGTACAGTATTTCTAACATTATTGTATCAGTAACAAGGTGGCACAGTTACCGTTAGTTGGAGATATACATATTCCCTTTGTTCTCAGAGATCATGGCTAGCATATGTTGCAGAATTACAGGAAGTGTGAGAAACACTAATGTACAGAACTGAGGATGAAAATAGGGTATATATTAGCCTGGTAGGATAAGAAAACAAAATTGCTAAATTGCAAAGGAAAAAAAAAATCTCTGGACCAGAACACAACATGAAGGAAAGATTAATAAATGTACTGCACTTCAATGCAAAAAACAAGGCAGAATGAAAATAGGACCAGTGTAAGAAGAAATGCAGCTTTTTAAAATTATGTTATGCCTAACTACATAAGGTAGAGGAATAATGGATGAAAAGGAGACTCAGGAAATGTGTTCCAGAAACACCAAAAAATATATGGCAGAAAGGAATCTTTCTTTTCTTTCTGAGTTATCAACGTTTCCTAAAGTCCTGAAATAATCAAAACCTATGGAAAGGAAAAGTGCAAGGGAAGAGCATTTGGCAGAAGCGGTGATTCCCACCAGGTTCTTGGGAGCCCACGTTGAGTAGGCATCAGGTTTGACAGCAGCTTCATTTCAAGTGCACCGAGAATAAGCCTCATGCTCAATGTGGATTATCAACGGAGAAATTCCCTATCACAAATATATATTTGAGAAACTCCACTCCAAAAATATAAGGGAGCGTATACTGTAGCACACAATTAAAAATTCACTGGGTCTCTGAGGAAGAAGAAAAAGAAAAAAAATATAGGATTTGGGGTATGTAATGAAAGCACTCTGTGAATGGAGACTTGGCTTCTACAAATGCAATTTACTCTGCATGGTGGAGCAAGAAAAGAAAATGTCACCTGACAGAATTCACACTCAATTTAGCATTGAAGTGCCTGAAACAAAAGTCTCAAATTTCTGGAAATTTAGGAGTTCTAAATATGCACATTGGAGAATACAAAAGCTACTAGTAAGACCAGAGTTTACCATTGCACGTTTCTAAATTTTTTAAAAAAATATACATCTGTCAAATAGCAAGGATTACTATTCATAGAAGGAGTTTTTCCCCCTTTTATTTCATCATATTATGGGGGTACAAATATTGTTAGGGTTACATATATTGCCCCTGCCACCCTTCCCTCCCCCTGACGTGCCAGAGATTTAAGCGTGCCCAACCTCCAGGTGGTGTGCACTGCACACGTTATATAAGTATACACCCTTCTCCTCCTCCCTTCTCCCGCCTGCTCACCACCCGATAAAAAGGTTTTTTGTATGTTTGGGTTTTTTTGACATTTTGGTTACATTGTATATCTTTGCCTCTCCCTAAGAAGGGTTAGAGTTATGCCCTTCCCCTCCAAAATGCTCGCCACATCCCTAAGATGTAGATCCCCCCCCAACCCCCAATCCCTGGTGAACATTGCCACCATTTGACAACCATAGTTTTAATTAGTCAGTACCAATTTGATGGAGAGTAGATGTGGGGCCCATTTTCCATATTTTGTGTTGCCTCACTTTGGATAATGGGCTTAAGCTTATTCCAGGATAGCATAAATTGTGCTAGCTCACTGTCGTTTCTTAGAATTGAGTAATATTCCATTGTGAGCATATGCCACATTTTAATTATCCACACATGAATTGATGGGCACTTGGGTTGTTTCCATGATCGTGCAATAGTGAATTGTTCTGCCATAAACATTCGGGTGCAGATGTCTTTATAATAGAATGTCTCAAACGCTAGAAATAGAAATACGATTTGACCTAGCAATAGCATTGTTGGGCATCTACCCATAGAAGGAGTTTTTAATTCCAAATATGACTAAGTGAATTTCCAGTCTTACCATATTGATTATAGACTATTTCAAATAGGGTTAAATTTTCTAGGTCATGATCTGTAATAAATTGTCATGAATTCTTGAGGCAAAACTAGTATTTTACAGACTGTCATAATTGTTGTAGCTATTGCCTCTGCCAGGTTTCACTAGTCTCTGCTATCAACTTTTATAAAGTAACATTTTTTTCTGTATTGTTCTATGTCGTGATTCTGAAAACATTATTTGTTAGGGAAAATAGTTCTAATTCTTTCCTGAGTTTTCTGAATATCAGAGATACTATGTGATGCTTTAATAGTATTGATTATCCTTTGGAATCTAAAATGTGGGGTTGTTGAGAGTCTTGGTATTTTAAGAACTCCAGTTTTGAGGTGTTCAATAAACTGTTTCATTCCTTTGGTAAACAATTCAGACTGCAGCAATTCTGGAAATAAAGCTGATTAAGGATTAAGGCCTCTTGGACTTAATTCTCCTTTACCGTATTATACAAGTAAAGGAGGATACAGTGTTTGGATTTAAATTTAACAATGGGAATTTGATAATGCAGGTATATGCTTTATGTTTAAATTTGTGTCTATTAATATTTGGTCTCTTGTCTGCATATAACAGAAACGAAGGCTGCTAAGCATGAAAAAAATGTATTGGACGAATATTAGGAATGCACAGAATCATGGGACAGGAGTATGGAATATGGGCAGAAATCAAGGAAGAAGAATGGAATAAACCCAACAACCATTTTTTAGTGATAGAATGTAGGTGGATGCTGCTGTCACTGATAGTGGAAAATATCACAGCTAAACATACCAAATGCCGCGTACTACTGTACTTGGCTCTCAACACTGTTGTAGTTGCTTTGAATGAATTATAATCATTTATTTCTATGCATCGCTTATTCTAGATTCAATTTTATGCTCTCCAGAGGCACTGAATTGTCTAACCCTCATTCCTGTATTAGGGCCCTGTCTATTGGGGGTTGGGTGGGTGAGGAGAATGAAGACCTCCCTCCTTTTGATTTCTGTGGTTATAGAAGATTGGTCCCCCCCATCCCATGAATGCTAAATATAGTCAATATTTTTAGTTTTTATCAAAATAGTTGTGGGGTTGAATTTTTACCGCCTCTTTCAAATACACACACACACACATACAGAAACACACAGACCCCACACACAATTTCAGTTTCTTTGCCTGCCCAGTAACCGTACATACCCTCCTTCCAAACTGCAGACTTAAAAAAATAAATAATTGTGCCAAATGCATTCTCAGATAAGTAGATAATCAAATGGAGTAGGACTGTAAAAGGATTGGGGTTCAGTTTCCCTCATGGTGGTGTACATTTTGTGGTCTATAGGAAGTAATAACTTTAAACAGGCAAGAGAGCAAGGCTGGCCAGGGGGAGGCATTAGAGCATGGCAAGACAAGAACTTTTCTGCCAGTGCACTTGCAATCTCCAGAGCAAACATTTTGCATGGAAGGAGTACCTCACTGGACAGAAATTACTAGGGCCTTACTTAATCTCTTTGTTCAGTCTCTGGCTGGGAACTGCTGGGAGAAAAGCAGGACCTTTTTGAAAACTGAGGCAGGCCCTGAGAACCCTAACAGCTGGTCTTGGTTCACTATATTCCTAGCAGATAGGCAATGCATCCTTAGTTGAAAGAGGTTCTGAGTTTCAGATCTCTGTGTGCTTAACAAGCTCCAAAACAGCATAATGTGATGATGGTTTATAATAAATAAAAATTCATATTCTGTCCTAAGGAGAGGCAACTCAGTTTCTGCATCACATTCACCAGATAGGATTTTTATATAATTTCTATTTCTACTCTAATGCCATCTCGGTTTTTATATTTTCATAATGTGAGACATAGTCTAGATTTTAAATTTAATCATAACATACTCTATAAGATACTGGGAAAACCAGAAATAAAAAAAAAGCTAAATAAATTCATCAAAATATATACATGCATACTTTACAAATTAAGGAAAGAAATTTATGTGATTTTTTTTTTCTATTTTAAAAAGTTGGTAGTTTGTGTAACTATTTCTGCTTACCAATTCGAAAATAGCTTTATCTCCTGCTAGGATCTTGGCTGGTAAGTCTTCTTCATCAATTACTTGGCCTAAATTTTATTCCTGAAAAACATGTTAGTTAGAGATCTTGTTAGTTCTGCTTCTATAAAGCTACTGCCCTTTATCATTAATTTCTACATCTGGATATGGTATTATAATGAACTGTCCCAGGGAATTTTTGGTTCTTTTCATATTTCTCCTTGCCCTACTATTGGCAGATAAGAACAATGTCACTAGGCATCATCTTGACACCATTTTGATCAGGTTCATCCTGTGACATGTAGAGCCCCACGAAGTCACCCTATCTTCAAATTCAGTAGAACCATTGCTTTCTCTGAAGTAACTCTGTTCCCTGATATATTAAAAACTCTAATACTCTAATCCATCAGAGCCCAGAGTTATGGACACAAACCAAGAAAAATAATAATAATAATAATAAAACTAAATTAAAAAAGTAGAAGAAGAAAAGTGATTCATTAGGCATTTTTATGAGAGGTATCATCCATATTCAATTCTTTATTCCTGAAGCTATCATGCGTTCTCTGGGAGAAAAGAAACACATAATGGTTGTTGATTTAGAGTATATACTACATACAGTCAGACAAAAATCTAATATGATAAAATTATGTTATCTGATTTGCTTCTATCAACATTATCTTCCAAAGATCATAACCACATTTCTAAAAGGGAAGCTGCTTTTGTGTGATGCAGAACTAGAAATCTCATGCATAAGCCATACTGCATTTAAGTGAAGTAAATTCTGCATTAATCAGCAATGATCTAGGGATAATATAGGTGAAAAAGTAATAAGATCTTAGAAATAAAATTGAGGAAATTATTTTATTCAACATACTTAAAATTATAATCTAACACATTAAATCATTGACAAGAGAAATACATGAAAACTAAAATATTATTGAAGTCATAAAACAACTCTGAACAGATAAAAAGATATATCATATACCTGGATAAGATTAATTCTCCTAAAATTAATTCATAAATTGAATGTAAGGAGTTTCAAATACTATTAATAATATATTTTTGTTTGTTACTTAAAGAATCTTAGTTGGTGAAGATAAATACATGGCAAATAATGTGGTTTTTAAAATATATAAACTTGGCTGGGCAATGTGGCTCACATCTGTAATCCTAGCACTCTGGGAGGCCGACGCGGGAGGATTGCTTGAGCTCAGGAGTTCAAGATCAATCTGAGCAAGAGCAAAACCCCATCTCTACTATAAATAGAAAGAAATTAGCCAAACAACTAAAAATAGAAAAAAAAATCAACTGGGCACAGTGGTGTGTGCCTGTAGTCCCAGCTACCTGGGAAGCTGAGAGGTAGTAGGATTGTGTGAGCCCAGGAATTTGAGGTTGCTGTGAGCTAGGATGATGCTATGGTACTCTAGCCCCAGGCAACAGAGTGAGACTCTGTCTCAAAATATAAAACAAAATAAAATACATAAACTTTATTTTTTAGAATACTTTTAGGTTCACAGCTAAATTGAGTGAAAGGTGTAGAGGGTTCCTAGGTACCTCTTACCCCTTCCTTTAGAAATCTCTCCTACTATCAACATCCTACACCACATTAATACATGTGCTACTATTGATGAACCTATATTCATACATCATCACCCAATGTCCATTGACATTAAGTTTCACTCTTTGTTTTATACATTCTATGACTCTTGATAAATGTATAATGACAGGTACTCACCATTGTAGTATCACAGAGAATTGTTTCACTGCCTTAAAAATTTTCTGTGCTCTGCCTATTCAGAGCTCTACCTACCTCCGCAATCTTTGGTAACCACTTATCTTTTTAGTATATCATCATCATGTCTTTTCCAGAATATATACAGTATATATACAGTATGTAGACTTATATATTATGCACACTTTTTTGATTGGTTTAGTTCACTTAGAAATATGCATTTAAGTTTCCTTTGTGTCTTTTTATGGCTTTATAACTCTTTTTTAGTGGTGAATAATATTCTACTATCTGTATGGACCAGAGTTTATTTATACATTCACCTCTTGAAGGAAATCTTGGCTGCTTCCAAGTTTTGGAAATTATGAGTGAAGCTATTATAAACATTTGTGTGCAGGTTTTTGTGTGGATGTTTTCAATTTATTTCAGTCAATGTCAAGGAGCGTGATTAATGAATCACATGGGAAGAGCAGGTTTAGTTTGGAAGAAACTGTCAAACGGTCCTCCAAGTGGCTATTCCATTTTGCATGTGCACCAGCAATAAATGAGAGTTTCTGTTGCACCATATCTTTTCGAGTACTTGGTATTGTTACTGTTTTGCATTTGGGCCATTTTCATTGTTGTTATAATTTGCAATTTCTTAATGATATATGATGTTGACCATATTTTCATTTACTTACTTGTCATCTGTATATTTTCTTTAGAGATGTATGTATGTTCAGGTCTTTGGCTCATTTTTTAAAATTGGGTTACATGTTTTCATATTGCTGAGTTTTAAGAGTTTTTTGTGTATTTTGTATAGCAGCCCTTTGTCAGATGTCTTTTGCAAATATTTACTCCTCATATGTGGATTGTCCAGCTTATCAGTTATTTCTTTCATGGATTGTGCCTTTGGTGTTATATATAAAAAGTCATTATCACCTAGGATTTCTTTCATGTTATCTTCTAGGAGTTTTATAGTTTTGCATTTTACATTTAGGCCTATGATACATTTTGAGTTATTTTTTGGGTGAAGTGTAAGGTCTGCCTCCAGATTCATTTATTTGCATGTGTGTGCCCCATTGTTCCAGCACCATTTATAGAAAAGACAAATCTTTGCTCCATTGTATTGCTCCTTTGGCCAAAATCAGTTGAATATATTTATGTAAATCTATTTCTGGGGTATCTATTCTGTTGTATTGATCTATCTGTCTATTCCTCTGCCAATGTCATACTGTCTCGATTACTATATCTTTATATTAAGTCTTACAATTGGATACTGTCAATCCTCTGTGTTCAAGAAGAACACAGAGGAGTTCTTGGCTATTCTAGGTCTTTGTCTCTCCACATGAGCTTTGGATTCAGTTTGTCAATAACCACAGAATACTTCGTTGAAATTTTGATTGATATTGCACTGAATCTATTAAGTTGAGAATAACTAACATCTTGACAATATTGAATCTTCCTATCCGTGAACATGAATGTGTTCTACTTATTTAATTCTTATTTAATTTTACTCATCATAGTGATGTAGTTTTCGTCATATTTTATAGATATTTTGTTAGATTTATACCTAAGTATTTCACTATTTGGGTGATACATAAATGGTAAAGTATTTTAATTTCAGATCTCACTTTTTTATTGCTGGTATATAGAAACATGACTGAATTTTTTATTAACTTTATATCCTGCAACACTTGCTCTAATCACTTATTAGATGAAGTTTTTTGTTTTTGTTTTTGTTTTTTTCGTTTTTTGGTCAATTCAGATTTTTTACATAGTGATGTATTATATCAACATTGACAGTTTTATTTTTTTACTTCTGAATTTGTATATGTTTTATTTACTTAGTTTTCATTATTTTTTTTATTTCAGAATATTATGAGGGTACAAATATTTTGGTTACATATAATGCCTTTGCATTTCCCAAGCCAGGGCTACAAGCTTGCACTTCACCCATACAGTGCACACCACATCCATTAGTTGTGAGTTTACCCACCCCCATCACCCCTCTCCTACCTGACCAGCATGCATTGAATATTACATCCACATGAGCATCTTCGTGTTGGTCAGTTAGTACCAATTTGATGATGAGTACATGTGGTGCTTGTTTTCCATTCTTGTGATATCTCACTTTGAAGGATGGGCTCAAGCTCTATCCAGGATAATATAAGAGGTGCTAATTCACCATTGTTTTTTGTAGTTGAGTAGTATTCCATGTTATACGTATACCTTTTTTTGTCTTATTGCATTAGCTAAGACTTCAATACAATAGTGAAAAGCAGTGGTAAGAGGTGATATCCTTGCCTTATTTCTACTCTTAGTAGAAAAGTTTCTAATTTCTCATCATTAAATGTTCTTTATCAGGTTAAGAAAGTCCTTTTCTATTTCTAGTTGGTGGGAAGTTTTTTTTTTGTTTTGTTTTTTTATCGTGAATGGGTATTTAAGTTTGACAAATGCTTGTTTTGCATCTTATGATATAATAGTGCATGTTTTCTTCTTTGGTCTGTAGATGTGGTGGATTAAATGAATTGAGTTTCAAATGTTGAACCAGCCTGGCATACCTGGGATAAATCTCACTTGGTTGTGCTGCATAATTCTTTTTACATTGTTGAATACCATTTGCTAATATTTTGTTTAGTATTTTTGTGTCTATGTTCCTGAGAAATCCTGATATGTAGTTTTCTTTTTTTTTCTGCTTTTGGTATTGGGGTAATGATGTATTTATATAATATGTTAGGAAGTGTTTTCTATATTCACAAAGATATTGTAAAGAATTGATATTTTTTTCCCCTTAAGTCCAGTAGAATTCACCAATGAATCCATCCTGTTTGGGAAGGATATTAATTATTACTTCAAAGTCTTTAAAAATAATAGGACTATTCAGATTGTTTATTTTTTCTTATATGAATTTTGACAGATTATGTCTTCAAGAAATTGTTCCATTTCATCTAGATTATCAAATTTGTGGATATAGAGTTGTTCATAATATTCCTTTATTATCCTTTCAATGTCTGTGGGATCTGTAGTAATGTCAACTCCTTCATTTGTGATATTATTAATTTGCATCTTCTCTCTTTTATTTTCTTACCCTAGTTAAAAAATAGAAAAAATTAATCTCATCTGAACCCTTCAGAATTTGTCTACTGTTTTCACTGTTTTAACTCATTAAGTTCTAGGGAATTTTTGTTTTGTTTTGTTTTTTTGAGAGAGAGATGGTTAACTAGAAAACCTATATATTCCATAAATGGAAGGTTGCATTGTATTATATAAGCACTTAATTTCGCTAAATACTACTACGATGTGCTTCTGAATATCTCAATGCATTTTGACACTGAGAGTAATGCAAACGAATTGCTACTTCCTCCAATTTGTA